TGATCGTGTCATCGTTTCAATTTAGTCCATTGCATTTTTATTTTAGCAGCAAATTATGCAACCGTACTCTAAGCTACTTTTTGTTATCTTTTATTGCAATTAAAAATAATATATTTGCTTGTTTTCAAGTGTATTGGGACCAAGCCTTTGATATACACACATGGCATTCATCTACAAAAACAATATTCCTAGGAAAAAACAAAACCAGAGTTCACAATATATGCCTATTTTGCTTAAAATAGTCATTTTAATTAGGTAGCAAATGTTTTTCTGTATATATGAAGTATATCATAACCTATAAAATAATGAGTAGCAGTTTCTGGAACATTTTTTGCACTTTGTCAAAACATTTTATCCATTCAAAAATGTTGTTGAAAGCTATTCATTTTTGTTTATGCGTACCAGAGAGTTTCGTTAATAATAGAGTTAATTACAAAAAACATACAATTTGAAACTAGGTAGATGGTGATAAAAGGATTACTTAATTGAAAATTGGCAAATGTATTGTTTTTCATGTCACTGTTTTAATGTAAGGTTCACTTATATACTAAGATGTCCCATATGAGGAAAATTAGCACTCTAGAAAAGCATCTACAATAATATTTCAAACTGTTTAAGCCCAAATGAGTCTTTTATTTTCCTTAAATATATTGATATTGTAAGCGAGCATAAAGTAACAAACTGTATCTACAAAACATGTACCTATATTTTTTGTGGTAAAAAAGTAAACTTTTTAGTAGTTGTTTTTACATATTTAAATAAAATTTAGAATCACAATATTTAATTTTCATAAACCAGTTCTCAAAAATATGTATTAAATATGGATGGAATACCTTAAATACTTTACTAGAAAAAAGGTATATTTTACAAAGGCAGCATTTTTGCATCCTTTAGAAAACCAGCCTCTTGCTATTTAATACTCATCACAGTAATTTTTTCCAAAAGAGTAAATTGAGGTTTATAAAGTTCATAACAGTAATGGTAACAAAAAAATATCTTTGCCAAGGTTTTATGCCTTTAGGTAATCCACATATAAATGTGCCATCCTTTTTTCAAGCTACAGTGGTTTTCAACAAAATCATTTAATAAGAAATTTTTTCTACTTAACTATTAAGTGTTTTGTGTACACATTTATTCATATAAGGTTATTTGGATGTCCTACAGATTTCTGATTATAAAACATTGTATCCATATGTTTTTATCAAACTATCATACTTTTCCCCAAAATCAGATTATGAGTCTTTTGTAATGATTATAAATATTGTAAGCATATCAAAATTTCTGCTAAAATTCAAATAAAAATTCTAGATCCATTATATACACAAATGTTCTATCAAACACAAATATTAGTTAAATTATTGGCAAACACATATAGATATAGCGTAAGTGAATTATGGACATTTCTATACAAATAAACTGCTTGCAAAGTAAAAATCCAGGCAAAACGTTTTGAAAAACAAGTACTAGAGTACAAGATATCAGTTGAATATAAAAGAAAATATCTGCATGCATTTTCCTTTCTAAAAAACCACCATTTAGTGACAAGTTTAAAATTTACGGATTTAAAACAAAAGCAATTATCTTTGTTAGAAGCTTCTAGAAACCAAGAAAACACATAGTTCTTAGTGACTTTATATGTTCGTGTTGGAAGGAATTAATCTGAGACAAATAATCAAAAATCTTTAAAAATTGTGTTACATAATACTTGGAAGGCCTCCCTTATATTTCTGATAATATTCATACATATTTCTTAAAAAGTTGTGTTTACAGGTTATCTAAAACTTTACATGCATTATTTAATTTATCTTTGAGACTGCACACATTCCCTGGTAACTGACATGACAGTTATATAACTCCTGTATTTAAAAACAGTGACAGACAATTAAAAAAAGAATTATAGTTCTGTTGTTGTTATCTGCCATCCTTAAACTTATTGAACTAATTCTTAAGAAATATCTCACTGGCATTGTAGAAAGCTCTAGATTAATGAGTAATTAATCAGTGATTTAGGAACGGCAATTCTATGTCTTCAAATCTTGTTTTGTATTGTGACTACATTGTCAGAGCTTTCAAGGGTGGGTACCAAGTGGACTCTATTTATACTGATTTCTCAAAGGTCTTTGACACAGTAATCCATATTTTGCTCATCTTTAGATTAAGATGTATTGGCTTTCCTGAGTAGATTCTTTCATGGTTAGGTAGTTATCTTGATGAAAGAGTTCAATTTGTTTTTATAAAGGATTCACTTTCGATTCCTATCTTGGTCAGTTCAGGGGTCTCACAAAGTTCCCACTAAGGCAATAAAGTTTCAAACCTATATGATTTATTATATCCTTAGCAAATCTAAAAATACTCACATTAATACAAGCCTACTCTTAAGAGTGTCTAAAATAAGAGATTTAGGGGTGTTATTTGACATTTCCTTGTCATTTATCCCTCACATCAACAATTTGTCTTTTGGTACCCATATATATTTTATTTTTGTCAATAATATCAATGTTATGGATCTATAGTACTATTTTAACCATTACACCCTTGAAAAAATTATTTGCTCCATATTTGTGTTTATAGATTAAACTTACAGAACATGTCTTTAGTAGAACTAAGGTCAAGGGGCTAAATATCAGTTCCCTTTAGGTTAAGAACCTAACCTAACCTAGAAGACTACAGAACTAAATGTGATGTAGTTTTTTTCAAATATCAGTTCCCTTTAGGTTAACAACCTAACCTAACCTAGAAGACTGCAGAACTAAATGTGATGTAGTTTTTTTCTATAAACTTCTTGACCTTACAACTGACTGTGCTGATTTATCAAGTCTTATCAACTTTAGATGTAGTACTAGAATTTTTAGAGACATGCCTTTGTTTTCTATAAAACACTATCACATAAACAATGGCAATTTCTCTACTATTAACAGAATTCACGCACTAGAAAATTACTTTAATCAATCTTATGATCTGATGGATTTAAAATCTATAAGATTTAAGCACTCTTTGACCCAGTATGTTAGGGATTGAAGATGAGTGACATCTAAATTGTAGTATGGAGTCATTTCATTTTAATAAGATTTTCAGGAAAAGTGGTTTATTTTAATTTAATCATTTGTTTAGCATTACTTAATCATTATTTAATATTTTTTAGTATTTTCGTAAAAATAGGGATATGGAAAATCTTCTTCCAGTTCTAATGGACAGCTGGAGTGTGACTTCACAACAGTCATATTGTTATTACTTTCCAAACAAAAGTTGAAATGTCCAATCTCAAGACTTTTTAATTTCTATAAAGTTAACATTTTGCTTCCACTGCTGCTTTTTCTTTTAAGTATAGTGTTTTTTATGATAATACCATCATAATTCAGTGTTCTATTTCTATGAAATATAGTTTAAAATTTTAAATTAAAGAAATTCTAACCTTACTTTATTGTTACATCCATTTTATTGCTATTTTTATAAAACAACATGTTTTATTATTTACACAACATTGTAAAATTGTTGTAGTAACTATTAGAATACTTAGATATTGCAAAAAGCGGAAAGATGCTGTTAAAAAAATGAAAAAATAAGGAAAAATACAAATTGTCCACACTAAACAAGATTTGTTTGGAAAGTGAAACTGACAGATGTCAATAAAATCTACTTCATCACTCTGGCAGTCTATTGACAGAACTTTTTGTAACACATCTAAAATTATATAAGTTGCAATATGATACTCAATACTAATTTATTAGCATATTCTATATTTTTGGAATTTGTCAAAGATCAGTATCATTAAAATCATAGTATACTTTTACATCCATTGCATTTACAGCCACTGTATTGGTATTTTTATATAATTTACAACTTGACTATATAATTTGAATTTAATCCTAACAAATGTTTTTAATTTGCTGAATTCTTGCTTTGATAATTTCATTTTTTAACCTTTTTTATAAATCATGTTTCTAATAATATATGCAAAAGTATCTCCATATTATTATACTTCTTGTAGAGCCATACCCTTTTTTTCCCTAGGCTGCTACTCTGCATTAAAGCAATACCGTAGTTTAGGAATTTAAGGAAATTTAAACATTTTGACTGTCAGATATAAAATTAAATTAGTGATAAAAATTATATGAAACTAAAAAGGAAAAGGTACAAATGCATAATAAGTTCTTCTCTTTCTAATAGAATGAGATTCTCAATTAACACATCAATTAACACAGTAAAACCTCCATTATCCTATTGAATATCCAGAAAAATGTAGCTGATCATACAGTTTTATTATATGATGCACAGTGAAAGATGTGTCACTTTTAGTCATATTTTAGAACAGAAGGTACTGACATAAGTTGACTGATAATGATTAAATTTCCTTCAATTTTAGCCATAAAAACAAAAAGTTAGTTGGAATTAAACAAAGATTTATGTACATGAATTCTCAGATTTTTAACAAAAAGCATATTGTAAAAGTGGTCACAGAAAAAGATTTTTCCTAAAACAATAATCCCACTACATCACCTAATTTTTACTTCATATGGTTTTTTCATACATTTTCACAGGTTAAATCTAATGTTTTTAATTTAAAAATATGTATGTATTAAAATGTAATTCACATTACAATTAATTGAGCCATTGAAAACCAGAGTGGTCTAAATCAGAAATGCTGGTATTCTAGAAACGGTAACTTAATGTTAACATATTGGCGTAAATGGGAACATAAAAACTGACTGTGATGTGATTATTTATTTATTTTACAATAAATTGGTAAAATAATCACAGTCAGTCTCTATGTTCCCATTTACACCAATATGTTAACATTAAGTTACCATTTGTAGAATACCAGCATTTCTGACTTAGACCACTCTGGTTTTCAACGGCTCAATTGTGGTTTAATTTCATTTAAAATAATATTTAATTCATATAGTTGTTACATAGCAAAGACCATATAACTGCAATATTTTGTCTTATAATTATGTTATATGTAGCTAGATATTAATATTCACCCTTATTTTCTTTTTTAGGCAGCCTACCATGTGATGTAAACTCCAGTGTTATTAATCCCAACATTCATTCTTTTATTAAAGAAGTAAAGAAAAGTCAAGCTGCTATTAAGGATAAGGAATACACCACTGCAGATATTGAGACAGATTCAGAAAACCAGAGGCTTCTAGATAATGATGTTTTAGGGCAAAACTATCAAGAATCACAGGAGATCACTATTGTTCCGAGGTTTACAACAAAAGCTACGTTACAAATTGGTGAGTGATTTGTTCCAAATAATGTATCATAATCACAGGTCTTTATTGTTATTTATTTCTTTGTTTTCTTTTGTCGTTTTCTTTATTCTTGAAAGTTCTCATTAACCCTAGCAAATCAGAAGATTCTATAATCATTGTTAGTGTTATTTATTGGTAAATCAATTATACTAATAAGGATCACTAATATCCCATGAAAATGTCTTCACACTTAACACTAGATACCAATTTAAATGTACAGTATGTACCAGAACTTATAAGTAACCATCATCAAAAGAAAACTGAGTATATTTGGCATCTTCTTCTTCTTCTTCGTCTAGCCATTCACGTCCACATCTGAACATAAGCCTCTTCAAGTCTTCCTTTCCATTGTTTTTTTATATTTGGCATACAGTTTACTAAATTCCAGAGAACCATAGGTATTTCTTCAAGCCTTTGTTCTTACTAACCTTTTATCAAGTACCTTTATGTATTTATGTTTATATTATGCATTTGTATTTAGTATATATTGTAAAAAACTATATGTAAATAAACAAAACATTTTTTTCTTTTGAATCACCCTCTTTTGCTTAGGTAGAAAAAGGTTCATTTATAATGAATTAATAAATTTTTTGTATTTGCATGGTTGCTGCTCACTTTGGATGTGTCTCATTCATTTTAGATGCCTTAATTTTGAATATCTGACTACATTTTTTCTACCCATTTTATATTCCTTGTTTTGTTTGTTTTTTTAACTCTACTGCAGGTGTTCTAGAATCGTTTTTATTAATTTTGTTTTTGAAAGTCCTTACAATTTATCTTTTCATGATAAGACATAGGGTATGGTAATTACTGTTTAGTGGTTAACAAAAACATCCATTTTGTTCTTATTTTTGTCTTCCAAGTATCTAATAGTTAGAAAAAAAAAATCAGTTTTCACTTAAATTTGCAATAACATTTTTGTTTATGATGTCATTTTAACTCACAAAGTCTTATTTCATAGCTTATATCATCTACTTAGTGCTTTTGATACATGTATTCCTCACAAAATATTCCAAATGATGTCTTATCTATAGTTTTTGCTATATAAATGGATTAATGAGCACTTCTTGATGTTTTAATTCACATTTAACATGTCTTATTGATTATTTGTAAAAGTGTTATAACTGTGAAACTTCTTTCTTATAGCTGCTACTCCAGTGGATGAGCCGATCTCCTTTGATTTAGACACCATTGCTGATAGCAAGAAACCTCCTGAACTAGTAGATCCTAACAAGGTGCTGCACAGCAAATATAGTGTCTTTTTTCCTACATATAGAAGTACAGAAGATAGGGTAAGTGTTTAATTTGATTTTATTGTGAAAATTTGTCAATTATTTTATACAGGATTGGATATGTACTTTAGATATTTAATGTAGATATAATAATATATGGGGTGTAGTAAATAAGTGTGACAAACTTCAGGGGGCGATTCTGCTTGAAAAAATAATTGCAATTTGCTATATAAACATATTACCAAAGAATATAGAAGGACAGTTCAAATTGGCGATTTCGTCACGGTTGTGACTGCATAAACTCAAACCGTGGCCGCCAACTTAAAACCATCATGAAATATGTAGTTAGAGGGAAGTGGAAAAGGAGTATGAACGGAGCGATTTATTTAACTTTTGCATCTATTTGTAATCAAATTTCGTAGCCATTGATTTGCGAGCTGTCTTTTTTCACAAAACCTTTATTTTTAATTTATTAAATTGTTTAATTTTAAAATATAAAAAGGTATGATAGTATTTATTTTTATATTTATATATATATATATATATATATATATATATATATATATATATATATATATAATATATATATATATATAATCAATAACCCTTCTACCCTAAGGTGTTGGGTGAGGGAATTTATATTTATACAATATTAGTATTTATTTTTTTTATTACATGTAAATAAAATTTTATACCTTTGAATTAAAAATAGGTTTGTTCTAACACTATGAAAAACCGTAACATAACTTTATATTATACTGTTTTTCTGCCCAAAAATTTACGAAACATTTTTAAAAAATTTTAAAATTTTTCAACCAAAAATTTGATTTTCTCAGAACTTTTTATCAAATTTTTTAGACAATTTTGACTTCTGTCCTTTAATTTGCAAGATTATGCATTCCACCAGGGTATTTTCCCATTGAAATTCCTCACTATATAAGAGTTATCTTTATGCGCTGACATGACAATTAAATTGTATGGTGGCCATGTCTACGTTCAATGTATGGCTTATCATTCCTGTAATCCTACCCAAACAATATTAAAGGTCTGCTTGATATGTTTCCCAATTTGTTTTACGAGGATTACCATAAGTTTCCTTGATATGCTTATTGCCTGTCTTGATGGTCTGAACACTACACATCATCTAAAGCATGCTATTTAACAGTTTGGTATTTGTACTGCCCCAGGTCAGATGGTAGGCATTCATATCATAGCCAATGATTAATTGCAGTTCATTTTTCACGCAATCTCTCACTAACTGTTCCAACTCTCTTGATGATTATTCTGTATCATCATATGGGAGGTATGCTGATCTGAGAACTATCTCCTTCATAACTCCTTCCTCTAAAACCTTTCTTTTCACTGTCATTCTGTCTGTGGAACAGAGATCATAACCAGTCTTCTGTGTTAAGGTCTTGATTTTGCCTCTTTAGAGGGGTCCTGATAGTTTCTTCATAAAGTTTTTTTCTCGGGGACGCGGGTGAGGACTATGAGGCGCTTGGGCGTATTATTTGGAACAATTATATTTAAGTTTACTCCCTACCACAGTAGAAGTTCATTTTGACCTCAGATAGGAACCTAAATAAGTGCTTGCTCCAGTTTGTTAATGATCAAATTTGCTTGAGCCCGATTTAGTTGAGTATCAGGATGGTGTCTGTGTGCTACCACCATTCTGAATACTTTTGTCAGGGTGCTTTATCACCTAGTCTGCTCGTTAGAGCACCTTGGTTTCTTAGCAACTCTGTTACGAGAGGGGGTGATGGTATTCTCCTGAAGTCTCTTTTTAGCGTCGGATGTTGCTGATTTGGATTTCTTAGTATTTACAGGTCTATGTCCCAGCAGCCACTTTTGTCTTTTTCTTAACTTCCTCTGTTGAGCTCTAGTGAGGCGTTATTTGAGACTTACTTAATTATTTTTTAATTTAAAAATCCTAAATTATACTTCACAATTTCGAATTTTCAAATTGTAAAAAATAATTCTTTGGTGTATATGCTAAAAAGCAATTCTAGCGTACTAACAAGATCAGGAATTGTTTTTTGATCGAAACACCTTACAATTTTTTGAGCTCTCTCTCCCTGTGATTGACTTTTAATTAATTTTATTTATAGTTTATAAGAAGACAGTTTTAATTATATTATTTGTAGATTTGTACATACTTCAATTAAATATTTGAATCATAATATTTTTTCTAAAAAGATTTATTTATTAAAAGGTAAAATAATATTATTTTCTTTAAACAATTCTATAAAAGGCAAAAATTTAATGCTATTCTACGACCACGCGGCATCTACATATAAAAATATCTAAAGTTGCATTTGTTGTTCCACTCTTTCATATTTTAAAAGCAATAATAGCGCTGACATGACCGCTCCTTAGTGGTACTGATAACACCGAAAATGTTCTAAAATTTTTAGTATGTTTGGATAATTTTAAATTTTAAAGATATTTTTATTATTAAAGTTAACAAAACACCATAAATAAAATTTTAATTTATTAAAAATGAAATAAAATAAATGCATACTTACCTTACATTCCAGTAAATGATTGGACTGCACAAAATATTTTCAGAAATTATTGTCGATAAAAGTTACTAAACTAACAATTAAAACTAAAAACTATAACAATTAATTAAAAAAGAAACAAATTTTACTGCACTTTTGCAAAAAAGATTTGGAGTAGAAACAATCTGAACAAAGAACTGTCAAAGAATAAAATTTAATTGCTGAAATTTTTAGGATGATTAGTACAACTTATTTCAGACTTAATCTTGTTCTGTGTCGATATGACTCATAGCTTTTTAAAAAATCCATTACCTGTAGCAGTATTTTTTTTTTAAATAACGAGAAGTTTTAAATTGTGGTAAAATTAAGTGATGTCTTTGAAACGTTTTTACAAGCGTATTAGAATGTCAATCAGTTTTTTAATTAACATTTACCTTTTCAAATAAGTGGGATATTACATTTAAACGATAACACAGCTGGAGAGATACACTATAACTCATATTTTTCTGAGGGACGAAAATAATGAGCAATCAATTAAGATAGTTAATTTATTAATATCTATGAAACAATTAAAATAAAAACTTATGATATTTTAATTTACTTCTGTTAAAATTAAAAAGTTGAAGTTAATAAACAATTGTAAAAAAGTATTTGTCCGTGAAATGCTCTTGTCATTAGTAGTATAAACTAAAACATAAAATAACGGACTTAGTATATTTCAAAACAATAACATATTATTCATGTGTTATCTATTCATATTTACGACACTAATTACGAACCAATAAAAGTATTTTCATGTGTAAATCAATGAAACATTTATGAAAATTGCTGTAATATTTAGGTGAGGTGAAGTTTAGTCATCAGTTTCGGTCGTTGTGATATATTGAGACAACTATGTATCGCGTCGTGAGAAAGAATTTTTGTATTAAAATTTTTGAATAAACAAAAAAATTATTGAAAATTTATGAGGAAATAAGCATTTTTATATAATTTTTAATAAGTGATAAAATCATGTGAAACTTTCCCAAATTGTGAGTTTTTATAATTTTGAAAACTTTTTAAAACTTTGAAAACCCTAAATTTTCCAAAAATTACTGGTCCGATCAAGTCCATCTTATACATACACATATATAATGCAACAATTAAGACATAACACGAACACTTTTATAAAAAAAACCTACAACATATTCTGCCAAATCTAGCATATACAGATTATAATCCCAAGAATATGCTAGTCAGTTTTGACGAATCTTTAAATAATTTAACACCTTCTCAGTGGGAGTTTCTGGAACAATGCATCAAACTCTTTACTGTTCGAAGAGATTACTAAAATACCAGCACAAATATTTCCTGCATCTCCGAAGTGATTCCACTGGTTGATTCACTGTTGAAATAACTAGAGGAGGAAGAGACTTAAAATATACCTCCAAATTTATTGAGAATGAAATCTTCAATACAAGATAAACTTAGATTTGATGAAAATGACAAGTATCTGCTGCATAAATTAAAACAATTTATTGTAAAAAATAACAATTGTATAATTTTAATTAAAACTATTTTAAATTAAATTTTCAAAAAGTCCACCACTTTCAGCCAAGCAGTAGCCCAATCTATTTTAAAATTGCCTTTAGTGTTTAACAACATTTTGGGGTGTTATGCTTCGAAAGGACTGAATGATTTTTTGACGTAAGTTGTCTAAATTTCCTGTACGTTCAAAAAGTCCAAAAGTACAAGATCAAGAGAGCAAGGTGCCATTTTTATGGTACCTTTTGTACTAATAACTATCCGGAAACAATATTTAAACAATAAAAAATCTAGCACCTCCCGTGCATTTTGAGGTGGATAGCCATCTTGCTGCAACCAAATTTCGTCCATATTAATAGGTAATGCTGGAACTGCTGGAAATATGTGATTTCTCAGGAGATCTAGGTAGTTATGACGACAAGTAGTGCCCACAATGAAAAATGGGCCAATTACGTTGTCACCGAACATACCAGCCCAGACATTGATTTTTTGACGGTATTGTGTTTTGTAAGAAACACTTATGTGCCTATTTTATTTAGAGTACCCTACAGTAACAGATGGATTGTGATGGTCAGCTAAAGAAAAAGAAGACTGATCTGTAAACAAGATTTTATTCATGAAATCTTGTCACGACTAGTGCGTTTCATCATGTCCTCACAAAATACCATGCGTCGTTTATAATCAGCAGGGAAAATTTCGTGAGTTTTTGCAATTTGTAGCAATGGTACTTGTTTCTTGTACAACTGTACTCTACAGTTCTAGCACTAATTCCAGTTTCTCTAGAAATTAGGGTGCTGTTACAAGGAACATCGATTTCAGCCAGACTACATACGGCAGTTTCACGCTGTTGCCGTTCTTCAATAATTGCACGAGCTGGTTGATTTTCATCTTCGTCACTATCCGTGCATTTTTTACATTTCTTAACATTACCAGTTTTTTCAAATTTAAAAATAATGTGAAGTCTAGATTTTTTGGTACAGGGCATTCGAAAGAAAACGAAAACCTACCGAATATATTATCGGCACTACTTCCAGA